GCAAAGTACGAAAGCCCGACTTTCAAGGTAACCACTCCGTTGCCGCATGTGTTGCACAATTAGTATTTGCCAAAGAACAGGCGGCGTTCAACAGCATAGCTGCGCTTTTTACAGCTACCGTGTACCGCCCCCTTGCCAAACTACCCGAACCTGCCGGATTGGCGCGAGTTTTTTGATGAGGCAGGACTCACACGGTAGAATGACTACACAGGTTCGCTCACGGTCTCCCCCCGCTGTGCAAGTATCAGGCCGCGCGCAGCGCGGAGCTCGGAGCAGCTACGGCCCCCAAGGCTGCTTGACGGTCTGCAGCCAACCGCGCGTCAAGTGTGAGTGTCAAGGGGCCTTAACTAAGAGCCCCGCGCAGCGGCCGATTTTTTTGGAGAGCACAATGAGCAGGTTTACCCCGTGACTACACCTGATGCGGGACCCACAGCAAAGTGTTCGTCGCGAGTAAGGCTTAAGCCTCCTCTGTGGGCTGTTCTTCCGACTGTACATCGAGCCAGACAAGCAAACACCCGAAAGAGCCTTAGCTGCAGGCTGCCAGTAAGCAGTTGCTCCCTGAACTCTGGCGGTTCCTGCCGGTAAGCAGTTACCCCAGAAGATTAGGGACTAAAGCTCTCCTGCCGGCCCGGGAAGCTAGCAGAGGGTCGAAGGCACCAAAAAGACCTCGCCTTGCTAAAGCTTTCCAGGCGGCCAGCAAGCAAACGGGCCATTGCAAACTGACCGGCCAGGGACGCAGTCTGTAGCGACGTCTGGGGGCACTGCTAATCTCCGGGAGAGAAGCAGGCAGCAAACCCCTTCAACTACCGACGGTCTTCCCTGCGTACGAGTTGACCGTTTTCCCCGGCCTCGCCCCTCACTGTTAGCCACCCAGTGAGCACAGATCCCTGTCAGGTCTGTGACAAAACTGCTGCTCACCACGGGCTCCGGAGAACGCAGGGTGTAGCAACAGCAAGCTGCCAAGGAGAAGCTGCAGTAACAGCCCCCCTAAACCTGCCCCTGCCAGTAGGCCGAACCACCCGGCAAGGAAGCAGGCCACAAACGCGATAGGCTTCACTACCCTAAACCCACCCGTGGGACGTGCAAATGGTGAGAATAATATAGAAAGTAGGCTTATGGGGGGGTTTTTTTTGGAGCCAAAAAACGCTCCAAAACGCTCCAAAATGGCTCTTTGAGTGAGAGATGTGTGAGGAGGAGGTGTTCATTGCTGAAAAAACGCTCAACTTGGCTCCAAAACCACCACCTTCAACCTGAGTAAGAAGAAGGTGTTCATTGCAAAAAAAAGCCCTCAACTTGGCTCCAAAAACAGCACCTTCAACCCGAGCAGGCTTATGGGTTTTTTAAGCCAAAAAAACGCTCAAAAACGTTTCCTTCGACCGAAGCAAAATCGCAGCGCATGTTTTTTTGGTGGAAAAAACGCTCAACTTGGCTCCAAAACAGCACCTTCAACCTGAGTAAGTCTGCAGGGATGTGTGTTTTAACGTGGAAAAACGCTCAACTTCGCTGCAAAACAGCTCCTTCAACGGCCCATTAATAACTCAATAATGACTCAATAATGACTCAATATTGATTCAATAATGATTCAAGATGACTCAATCATGACTCAAAATGATTCAATAATGACACAACAATGCGGGGTGGCAGTGAGTGGGGGCAGCAGTGGCAGGGCAGCAGCAACAGCGTTGTGTTGTGACCGTGTCCGCATTGCAACCGCGTTGTAATCGTGTTGTGACCGCGTTGTGACCGCGTTGTGACCGCGTTGTGACCGCATTGCAGGCAATGGCAAGGCAGCAGTGGCATGGCAGGGCGGAGGCAGGGCAGCAGTTGCGGAGTGGCAGGGCAGCAGTGCAGAGTGGGGGTGGTTGGGCAGCAGTGGCAGGGCAGCAGTGGCAGGGCAGGCGGAGTGGCATGGCAGCAGCAGCGCAGGTTGGCAAGGGCGTGGCAGGGCAGCAGTGGCAGGGCAGTGTGGCGGAGTGGCAGGGCAGTGGCAGGCAGCACTGGCAGGGCAGCAGTGTGGCGGAGTGGCAGGGCAGCAGTGCAGGGTGGCACGCTTAGTGGCCTTCACTACCCTCCCTTCCTCTAGCAGGGACCCTTAGAGGCCCTTCACTCCCTCAAAACCTTCAGCAACGAGCCTTACAGGCCCTGCAATGCTCTCTAAACCTCCAGCAGGGAGCCCTTCACTCCCTCAAGCTGTGACCACGTTGTGTTGTGACCGCGTTGTTTCCGCGTTGTGACCACGTTGTGTTGTGACCGCGTTGTGACCGTAGTGACCGCGTTGTGACCGCGTTGTGACCGTGTTGTGACCGCGTCGTGATTTGCCACTCTTCGCGACGCTGCAACGATGCTGATCAGGCGGGATGGTGGCAGAACAAACAGACAGGGCAGTGCGAGTGGCCAGGCGGGAGTGCAGAGCAGCAGCAGTGGCCAAGCAGCAGTGGCTGTGGGCAGGGCTGGCAGGGCAGCAGAGGAGTGGCAGGGCAGCTGTGCAGAGTGGGCAGGGCATGGCAGCAGTGGCAGGGCAGTTAAGGACAGGAGTGGCAGTGCAGCAGTGGCAGCAGTGGAAGGGCAGCAGTGGCAAGGCAGGGTTGTCAATAGGTTGCAATTGGGTCGCCACAGGGTCGCCACAGGGTCGCCACTGAGTCGCCACTGAATCGCCACTATGATTCCGCGGTTCGCTCGGCTTGATTCCGGGGTTCGCTCGGTTTGATTCCGGGGCTCACTCGGTTTGATTCCGGGGCTTGCCGATCGCCTGCGTCGCTGAGTGCATCGTTCTCAGGGTGAGGGACCAGCTCGACGAGGAATTGGAAAACCTGTGTCAGCAACGTGTTGTTGTGTTCTTCACGCCGTGTGGTTTGCAGTGCTTTTACGATTCGCCTCTGTTCGTCGTGATGCTGCTGTAACGGTCACTACGTGTCAAACAAGCTCGATTGCAAGATCCGTGCGTTACGACGGAAGATGTGAGGCGCGGGATCCATCGGGCGGATGCGTGTCACAGCGTAAAAAGTTCTATCTTGTGTTTCTAATCCTATTCAAAATCTGTATTCTCAGATTTGATGTTTCAGTTTTGTTTGCTAGTTTTGTTGCGGCTAACTGCTGGTTAGCCTCAATGCCGTTGAGTGGCGAATCCTTCCTGTTTTGCTCGCGGTCGCTTGCCTCCGGTCGCCGTAGCTGTCTGTGTGAGACACTGATCAGTGACAAGGGCCATAGCGATGAGTGGTGTCAGACTGCAGTGCAAAGGAGTGCGCCCTTCATCGCTGACGCTGCACCCGCTTATCTTTCAGCAGCGGCCTATGTTTCCTTGCGCGTGCGAAAGGCTCAAGACAACAAAGGATGCAGATTGTTTAAGCAGCCAGCTGGACAAGCAGGCTAACATAGAACTGGTGTGGCCTCGAAGTAGAGATCGTTCACTATTTGCTGCACGTACGAAGCACGTCACTTGCAAACATGGCCACACCGACGATTTGCATCATGCACGTCGCAAGGTTGACGAGTCAAACCCAGAGCCCGCACGCACAGCTGCGAGCACGGACTCTCCAATTTCATTCACGATTCAGCCAGAAAAATCATGCTAACAAGTAAGACTCAAAGTTGAAGTACTGGCGGAGCAAAGCAATGCAAGCGCTCTTCCCCCAGCTTTCTTCAAATGGATTGATCGCGTCTATGCACTTAAGCACGACTAAGAGCGCCTCTGTGAAACTGCTTCTGACCAGCACTGGCATCTGTGTCGCTGGTCCTGTACCCGTTGCACGCCCCGCTTGACTTGAAAACTTGAACGCCGTAGCCTGCTCAAAGAATGTGAGCGTTGAACTGCTGTCTGCTAATCCTGGAAGTCAAGCAAAGCCGCAGCGCAAAAAAACGTCAGTGATGCTTGCTACCTCAGAGCCGAGAAGCTCACACAACAAGGACGGATGCAAGTTCGCAGCGCTCAAACTCCGGCGCTGAGGCACACGCGCGCAACTTATACGTCGTCCGCTGGTGGCAGCGCGAACCCATAGCAATTTGCCCTGCGAGCGGGGCGGCGGCAAAACCCCTAAGCTGAAAAGGCGTCGAAACCAAGCGCTGGGCTCAGTTGTGTCTCGCAGTCTTGCTGACATCGTGTCTTCCTTCACCCAGTCCTTGTCCTGCGAAGTCACGCTGAGACGCGGCACAGGGAGGGCTAGGGGAGACATGAAAAGTCCTCCTTCTGGCTGTAAATGCCGATCTTGGACGCTTGATACGGAGACAAGGAAGGGTCGATTGCCTGCAGCGATAAACAAAGGATTCTGGACAGTTCCTTCTCCGCTTTCATTGCCTGATTTCATGGGTTGCGAGAGGTGCAAACATGGACACTCTAAACTTCACTGTTTTCATCGCGCATCTGCAAACAACTCCAAAGACAGGACGAGCTAAATCCACGTGCAAAATCCAAGCGCAGGGCCTTCTTCAAGTCATCCACCTTTTTTCAAAAGCGTGGAGAACCGCTCGTAAATACAGAAATGAACCTCAGGCAATCGAGTGAATGGAACTAAGGTCGCGGCGATAGACAAGGTTCCTTTCACTTGGAACGCATTGCCCGTCGGCTCGAGCTCCTTGCCGTCATCGAACTTCAGTTGTGGGTCGGCAACTTTTTTCAACAGAGATGCGAACAAATTCAGCCACCCGTCTTGGAGAATGCACTGCTTGCAACGTGGACATGATTTGTTTGCATCGGAATCCTCCTCGGGCCTCAGCTTTCCTGTGACCGTCCGATCCTGCAAGTCGAGCGGGTCAAAACTTCGGCAGACGTGAACCGACAGCAAACTGAAACTCCAGCAAGAAACAGCCAAAACTCCCAGCCCCGAACCGCTTCCCGAAGCCCCTCCCCTGTCCACGAACGGACGTGTGCCCCCAATCTCCGCCCCCTGCCGACAACGGTGCGCCGGGCGAGCGTCCAAACAGCCGTGCCCCAACCCAGGATTCAGCTACTGAATGCTACTGATGCAGTCAACGATTGCTTGCGCTCCAATCACCGGCATTTGCTCTCAGACAGCACAGTCCTTGCGGATCAGCTCCCGCACCCAGACGGATGAGATTGAGGTCGCGCCTGCAGAGCTTCGCAGAACACCAAAAGCTTGTATCTCGTTATGGGCAATCGCAAGAGCTTCGCCGGTTGTGAACTGCAAGCGAGAAGGACGAAGGAAAACGAGTGCCTCCAGTCTTCACTTCTGCGAGCTCCCTCTTCACGTCTGCGAGCTTTGCGTCGAGCTCCTTGAGCTCGAGCTCCCTCTTTGCGTCGAGCTCCTTGAGCTCGAGCTCCCTCTTTGCGTCGAGCTCCTTGAGCTCGAGCTCCCTCTTTGCGTCGAGCTCCTTGAGCTCGAGCTCCCTCTTTACGTCTCTTGCGTCGAGCTCCGTGATGCGAGCTGACAAGGCATCAATCTCGTTGAAAAAGATCTCTCCTGCCACAAACCTCCTGAAGTCGCGAAGCTCCTCGTCGCTCATCTTCTGCTGCTCGGACCACACTCGCTCCATGCAAAGGGTCACACCTTCTTTCAAGCCAAACTTCAACCTGGCTACGCAAAGGTCTGCTATCTGCTGCACCGATGCCAGATCGGGGTGTTGAGCCCCAATCATGATGGCCCCGAAGAAGACAGTCACCTTGCCGGCAATCTCACGATCTGACCCCGCCAGCAAGCCTCGCTTTGACTGACCGCTGCTGGTGGCCAGAAAATCGGCCCACTGCACTCCTGGTGGCTGAAAGGATGTGCTGCCTTCAGGATTGCAAGTCAACAGAAGGTTCGTGGGAGTCGGGTCCGGCATGTGGAAACTCAGGCCTATCATAAGGAGCATATCGTGCACGTACGAGTACAAGAGCCCCAACAGCCGACCGCGTGTGACAGCACCGGCACAATTGCACAGCCCAGTCATCCAGTCCTGGACTGTGCAATTCACCTGCTGCCTCACTTCCAGATGCACCTTTGCGTCTGGGAGGTCAACGTGCTCGATGCAGAGGCTGCACGCCGAGTTTGGGAGAAAGACCCCAAAACACATGGATTGCAGACTGGCTGCCTTGACGCCAATCTCAGCACCTCTGACAACTGTCTCTTCCGGCATCGCAAGCAAGAACTTGTTCGCGGCGCGCAGGACCTGTGACGCCATCTCTCTCGCCTTCTCATCCCCACGTGGTACGGGAGCAGTCAGCACAGCATCTGCCATCTTGGAAGAGTTATACTTGTGAGAAAGAGTCGAGCTAACAAAGACAGCCATGCCGACAGGGCAATCCTTGCTCTTCAGGAAGGCCGTTGTGCCACCCGCGAAGCTCTGCTCGGCATCCAATGTGCAGTGGGACCACTTTGTCAGCGAAGCGTTGCACCTGGGGCAATCCTGCCCGCCTGTTCCGCACACAGCCTCCTTTGCCAGTGGTAGACGATCATCCGCGCACAAGACAGCGAGAGCGAGCGCGGCGGCCACGACGCGACGCCACATGGCTGCTCACAAACACTGGGGCTGTGCTATCGCGGAACTTCAATTGTCCAGCTTGTTGTGTTTTGTGGGGCCAATCGGGCCGGCACCGAAACAAATCCCATGTGTGACGATTTTCCAACATTCGCTCTACAAGAAACCAAACGAGAGCGGCAGACAGGACTTTGATGAGCCTGCACCACAAACTGGAGGACATAGAACTACACTGCATGGCACCGTTTCGGGGCAACGCGAAGAAAACGACAAACGCCAGTGTGGAAAAAACAAAAGCTTGCCCCGAACGAGTCCATCCAAACTGCTTTTGGGAAAAGGAGAGTTGCGGGTGAAGCCACGACTCAAAAATGGGCTAAGTGTGCCAAATGACCACGTACACTTCGAACCCCATGAAGCAAAACACCATGCTTTGCGGAACACTTGAGCTTTTGACATGCTTTTCTTCACAGGGAGGTTTTGAGGCAGGTCCGCCAAGGTTTAGCACATCTTCAGAGAGGGCCCAGCTTCAGCCCCCAGAACCCCCAATCCCGACCAGGCTGCCTGCGAGTTTCCCCAGCAACCCTGAACTCGACGGGCACTCGCAATGCGGGGGCTCGACGATGCGGCGACGGTGCGACGGCGGGCGGCAACGACGGCGGGCGACGCGACGGCGAAACGGGCACGTCGACGACGACGGGTGACGACGGCGACGACGCGGCGATGATGCGGGGCACGGACGCTCGATGGTGCGGTCGGCTCGGACGATGAGCTCGACGGACGACGCTCGCCTCGGACGATGCAACGAAGGTGACCGCAGCGCTGACAGTAAGTTGAAATGCACGGCCGAGCGGGAGAGAAGGGATGCTACGGGGTTAGGGCGGCAAAGCACTGCAGGGCAGCTGTGGATCAAACCTACTGCGAGGACGAAGCGGGTTAGGGTGCCCTGAAACAAAACCACACCCAAAAACAAAAACAACGCTCAAGCAAACTGTTACGAGACTACTGCTACAAAGCAAAACCGAGGAATAAATCCATGAACACGCCGCCGCTCCAAGCAAACCCCTTTGCGCCCCGACACCCAAAAAAGGGGCGAGACAAGCGAGACATTGAGACAAACTCCCTTCTACCAGCCCGGGCCCCCGAGACGAGGGATGCAAGCGAGACATTGAGACAAACTCCCTTTTACCAACCCGGACCCCACAGAGAGATGAAGGAGCAGGACAAACTCCCTTCTGCCAGCCCGGGCCTGTCAAAGAGACGAGGGAGACAAGCGAGACAGTGAGACAAGCGAGACAGTGAGACAAACTCTTCTACCAGCCCGGGCCCCCCGGACAAACGGGGAGACAAGCAAGACAAACTCCCTTCTACCAGCCCTCCAGAAAGACGAGGGAGACAGCGAGACATTGAGACAACGGCTTTGTCTCGTTTTCTCGCTTGTCTCACCAGGATCTGTCCCGCCTACATGCCCACGGGCCCAATCGCGCTCATCCTAAACGCCCGCGGGATAGCCACAGGCTCGCGCCCAAATACCCACAAAAATCGTGCACTCGCCACAGTCCGGCGCGAAGACCCGGCAAAGCCTTTTTTGACCCGCGGGTGGAGCCGGCTGTGCCGCTTTAGCCGGCTTAGCAATTGCGTTGAAAATCGGGGGCGCGGCTGGTCCGCGCCCGGCGATTCCCTGTGGCTGTGCTCGACCCATCCTAAACCCTGACTACGTTCCGAGGCTTGCACCGTTGGGGAACGGGGACGGGCGAGCTGGGCGCTGCATGGCATGTAAGGTCCATGGGAGTTTGGAGTGAGAAATGGCGCAATGTCGGAATCGCTGCAAACACAACGTGCCGGCCACAAACAAGCCGAAGACAATCTTGCCGCCGTGAACCACTTCCTGGAGTCCGCTTTCCGAACGGCCTGGACTCGCCGTGGCTCTTCAATCCGCGCATAACCTGCACCGTGACATTCAGAACATGCCGGGATACTTGAATCATGCGCTCGCTCTGGATGATTACAATAGGGCAGGTGTGGATCGAAGACGATGCGGGAGACTCCACGGCCCGACGGGAGCGAAGATGGGCGAGCAGGAGTTGCCCGGCAGGCCGCCGCTGTCACATGCAAGTTACTGCTGGGCACCATGTTGTAGATGATGCAGCAGGCCCTAGCCAACATGGCAAACAAAAACGACGAGAACAACCTGAACTTGACATTCGCTGTGTCCAATTGAACACTGCAGAAACAGCTGAAATATGCAACTGGCCAAGGTCCTCTGCGACTGGGCAGCCAGGGCAGCCAAGGTTTGATGGGCCAGGCAATGGGCATCCAGGCGGACCAGAGTCTCTGCACCTTTGCCACGTCGGAGGTGCACTCGCCAGCCCATAGACGACGCGGGCACGGCCACGCGGCTCGTGACCAATGCCATCTCCACGCGTAGGGCACGGAGTCTCTCCATCACGGGCGGCTTGCGAGGCACCATCGTCAACAGGGCGGCACGCATCCGCACACAACAGGAGCTCATCGGCGGCAGCACGGGCTTGCAGGCACAGGGAACCTGCAGGTGGTCGAGGAGCTGCAGCAGGTCTTCGCCGCCGTGGCGCCCAAGTGGTACCGGCGGATCGAGGGCAGCCAGAAGCGCACGCTCGGCTCCATCGCGAACGAGGTCCAGAAGACGGGGCCCGTGCAGGCGCTGTGCGGCAAGCTTGTGGACGAGGAGCTCAGTCGGGGAGCTCGTGACATTGGATTATCCCATCATCCTATCACATGAAATGGAAAGTCGCTCGTGCACTCGAGAACATCCCCTTACCGACACCAGGCCTGCCGCTCTCCTTGGATTTGTAACTTGATGCCTGTTTAGGAGAGATACCAGCTTTGGCGTTCTGCGAGGCTCTGCAGGCACGACCTCAACGTCATCCGTCGTCTGGGTGCGGGAGCTGACCCGCAAGGACTCTGCTGTGTGAGAGCAAATGCCAGTACTTGGAGTGCGAGGTATCAGTAGCATTCAGTAGCTGAGTCTAGGGTTGGGGCATGGCTGTTTGGACGCTCGCCCGGCGCACCATCGTCGGCAGGGGGCGGAGATTGGGGGCACACGTCCGTTCGTGGACAGGGGAGGGGCTTCGGGAAGCGGTTCGGGGCTGGGAGTTTTGGCTGTTCCTTGCTGGATTTTCAGTTTGCTGTCGGTTCATGTCTGCCACAGTTTTGACCCGATGACTTGAAGAAGGCCCTGCGCTTGGATTTTGCACGTGGATTTAGCTCGTCCTGTCTTTGGAGTTGTTTGCAGATGCGCGATGAAAACAGTGAAGTTTAGAGTGTCCATGTTTGCACCTCTCGCAACCCATGAAATCAGGCAATGAAAGCGGAGAAGGAACTGTCCAGAATCCTTTGTTTATCGCTGCAGGCAATCGACCCTTCCTTGTCTCCGTATCAAGCGTCCAAGATCGGCATTTACAGCCAGAAGGAGGACTTTTCATGTCTCCCCTAGCCCTCCCTGTGCCGCGTCTCAGCGTGACTTCGCAGGACAAGGACTGGGTGAAGGAAGACACGATGTCAGCAAGACTGCGAGACGCAACTGAGCCCAGCGCTTGGTTTCGACGCCTTTTCAGCTTAGGGGTTTTGCCGCCGCCCCGCTCGCAGGGCAAATTGCTATGGGTTCGCGCTGCCACCAGCGGACGACGTATAAGTTGCGCGCGTGTGCCTCAGCGCCGGAGTTTGAGCGCTGCGAACTTGCATCCGTCCTTGTTGCGTGAGCTTCTCGGCTCTGAGGTAGCAAGCATCACTGACGTTTTTTTGCGCTGCGGCTTTGCTTGACTTCCAGGATTAGCAGACAGCAGTTCAACGCTCACATTCTTTGAGCAGGCTACGGCGTTCAAGTTTTCAAGTCAAGCGGGGCGTGCAACGGGTACAGGACCAGCGACACAGATGCCAGTGCTGGTCAGAAGCAGTTTCACAGAGGCGCTCTTAGTCGTGCTTAAGTGCATAGACGCGATCAATCCATTTGAAGAAAGCTGGGGGAAGAGCGCTTGCATTGCTTTGCTCCGCCAGTACTTCAACTTTGAGTCTTACTTGTTAGCATGATTTTTCTGGCTGAATCGTGAATGAAATTGGAGAGTCCGTGCTCGCAGCTGCGCGTGCGGGCTCTGGGTTTGACTCGTCAACCTTGCGACGTGCATGATGCAAATCGTCGGTGTGGCCATGTTTGCAAGTGACGTGCTTCGTACGTGCAGCAAATAGTGAACGATCTCTACTTCGAGGCCACACCAGTTCTATGTTAGCCTGCTTGTCCAGCTGGCTGCTTAAACAATCTGCATCCTTTGTTGTCTTGAGCCTTTCGCACGCGCAAGGAAACATAAGCCGCTGCTGAAAGATAAGCGGGTGCAGCGTCAGCGATGAAGGGCGCACTCCTTTGCACTGCAGTCTGACACCACTCATCGCTATGGCCCTTGTCACTGATCAGTGTCTCACACAGACAGCTACGGCGACCGGAGGCAAGCGACCGCGAGCAAAACAGGAAGGATTCGCCACTCAACGGCATTGAGGCTAACCAGCAGTTAGCCGCAACAAAACTAGCAAACAAAACTGAAACATCAAATCTGAGAATACAGATTTTGAATTGGATTAGAAACACAACATAGAACTTTTTACGCTGTGACACGCATCCGCCCGATGGATCCCGCACCTCACATCTTCCGTCGTAACGCACGGATCTTGCAATCGAGCTTGTTTGACACGTAGTGACCGTTACAGCAGCATCACGACGAACAGAGGCGAATCGTAAAAGCACTGCAAACCACACGGCGTGAAGAACACAACAACACGTTGCTGACACAGGTTTTCCAATTCCTCGTCGAGCTGGTCCCTCACCCTGAGAACGATGCACTCAGCGACGCAGGCGATCGGCAAGCCCCGGAATCAAAACCGAGTGAGCTCCGGATCAAACCGAGCGAACCCCGGAATCAAGCCGAGCGAACCGCGGAATCACAGTGGCGATTCAGTGGCGACTCAGTGGCGACTCTGTGGCGCCACTGCTGCCCAACCACCCTCAC